AGTTTAAGTAGGTAGTCCTTGTTAGACATCCTCATATCCTGCCTTACAATTAATGCAATTTATCCGTTATTTTTTAAATTTTTCTTAATTTTGGCTAAGGACTATAGCAATCATTTGAAAAGGAAAGACAGCCTGAGTCAGAAGTTGAGCAACAGACTAGCAAGAAGTGTCCTTAGAAGTTTCTAAAAACAAAATATGGGCCCAAAACATGAAACTGACGGGAAAATGGCACCTTTTCTACCAAAAAGGCAGTTCATTGTCTCCAAAGCAGGGGTAAACTTTTTCTACAGACTTTGTAGCCCAGAGGGTTAAAAAATTGTTGGCTCTGTGGCACAAGGACCATCMTAGTTCATTGATCACCTTTATCTCCTCCTTTTATAGCCACGTTCCCTGAGGGTAAGGAAGGCCTGCCTGAGGAAAGGTTGTATAACAGTTGTGTTTTTTTTTTAATATATTTTTTCTAGGTGTAAGTTTTTTTTTTTTTAAGAACCCACACTGTGGTGCCAGACTTCACCATTCACTGCTGTATAATTTTGGGCAAATTACTTAAGCTGCATCTGTTTTCTCAACTGCAAAATGAGTATTAAAAAAATACTTAATTCAAATATTGTTGTGAAGTTTGTGTTCAAAGGATGTGAAGTTCATTTGTGTGGCTGAATAGCTGATACACAGTAATTAGAATACAGTTTCTAGACTTTATGGTTACAATGGGAACAGAGGGCCAAAACCCAACACTCCCTGCAGCACATGCCACCTACCACTGGTTAACTAGAGGAGCAGCTGAAGCTACTTTCTTGTAGATAATAAAAGAGGCGAGTTCACTATTCACCAAAAACGCAGACTGAGGACCAATACTGAGAAGCGAAGCTTCATGAACTTGAATATTAGCAATCACCCTAGGATTCTGCTCACAAAATGTAAAGTCACAACGGTGTAGTCCATAATAAGTTTATTAGTGTCTTCCAGACACTACCATACAGACTCCTCTCTCAGAAAACAGTCTTTCACAGGTGGAAAACCATTATCCAGATGAGTTGTTCACTTGTCATTTTCATAGGCAGCTGGATTCTTCCTCTTCGATTTCTCAAACTCCTGGTTCCCCCAGGTGTAGACAAGATAAAACACTACAAATGCTTTAAAAACCAAAAGGGAGAATAAACGGTGAGCACATAAAACAAAGGTCTCCACCCTCTAATTCTGACTTCCAGCAGTTTCCACCCTCCTGGTGCTAACTTCTAAGATTTTTGTTGTGGGGAGGGGGTGGGGATATTGGGGATTGAACCCAAGGGTGCTGTACCACTAAGCTATATCTCCAGCTCTTTTCATTTTTAAGACTTTTAATCTGGAGGATCAAGAAAGGTTCCTTGGGGTTGGRGATGTGGCTCAAGCGGTAGCGCGCTCGCCTGGCATGCGTGCGGCCCGGGTTCAATTCTCAGCACCACATACAAACAAAGATGTTGTATCCGCTGAAAACTAAAAAATAAATATTAAAAATTCTCAAAAAAAAAAAAAGGTTCCTTAACACATCCATTTTACAGGAAACCAAAAGAGGGTAGACCACCCAGGAAGATTTCACACCAAATTTCCCCCCAAGTCTCCCCTGCTGCACATTAAACGAAAAAATTTGGGGATAATTTGAGATAAAATTCACCTAACAAGCGTCACCATTTTAAGGTATACGCTTCAGTATTCAAAATGTCATGCAACTGTCAGAACTATCTGTCGCACATTCAACAGGAGACATTTCGTCACTGATACGTGGATAAAGATGACCTCAGGGGAAGACGTTGGAGTCACCCAAGCGACCTTTGGCCGTTTTTTCAGGATGACAAGTTAGCTAAGGGCTGCCAGGAATATTCAGTGAGAAAGGTGTGCACGGTAGAGTGCCCGCTCACGGAAGGCACCGCAGTCCGGCCCCCAGCCGCCCGGCCTGGACACTCACGCGGCATCACGCGAAGGATGGACGCCTGAGTGCGGCGCAGGACATTGGGGATGCCCTTGGTGAAATAGTGCGGGAAGGCGCGCTGCTCGAAGGGCGACAAGCTGTAGGTGATCACATGCCGCATCCGCGCCAGATTCCCAAACTCGCGGCCCATTGTTGCGGCGGCTCTGTAAGGACCGAGGGCGGACAGGACCTTGCCTCAGCCTGGGGACGATCAACAGGCTGGAATCACCGACCCCAAGCCCGCCCCGGAACTCCTTTGCCTCCCCGAGCCCAGGCGGCGCCCCCACGCTCCCACAGCTCACTCCCGCAGCCAGGTCACCTCACCCTCCACGGACACTGACCCAAGGATCTCCTAGCGTCACTTCCGGCAGGATCGGAAGCCGCTCCTGGAGGCCGTGAAGTCACTTCCGGGAGATACCACTTATCCTATGTTTCCGGGGGAAGACGCTGTTGCCCCGGGTTCTAAAGAGACGTGGCCTGCCCGGGTGACCCTGAGGTGGGCGGTGCTGGGGTGGGGTGCTGCTGCCTAGTCCCGAAAGTGGGGCTTAGTGGTGAACGTCTGGGTTCCTGCGAGATTTGGGGGACCCGGTGCCCCCCGGGAGGCGCTCACAGTAGTCCTGGGCCTTTCCGCGGAGCTTCAGGCTCCGGGAGCGGCCGGGTGACATAGAGATAGGGGAGAAAAAAGACGCCAGGAATGTAGCTCGGTGTAGAGCACTTGCCTAATATGCGTGAGGCCTTGGGTGACATCGCCAGCACCACAAAATAGTAGTAATAACAACAACGATAATAATTTTGAATTTTGGGGTCGGGGTGGCAGCTGACCTGGAGGGCCACGGTGGTCCAGAGCTTTGCGCCTGTGAGTCCTCCAGGCAGTGGAGAACGCCCCTGAGGCGCAGCCACCCTGCGGCGGCCTAATGCGAGATTTTATGGGGTTTTGTCCAGTAGCTAAAAAGGGGCTCTATTTTCAGACCATCAGCTACGCCAGTATCAGCTTTATCAATCGAGGCGCTGCACAGACTGGTGATTTACCTTGTACTCTTAAGTGTGGGTTAATTTTCCTCAAGCAGATAGCCTCCTTGAGGGTGGTGCTGGGTTGCCCCTTGTTTCAGCTTTTCACGATGCACATTTACCTCGTTTTTCTAAAAAGTGAAAGGAAAGTGACCGTGACACTTGTAGCGATCAAAAGATCTTTATTGTGGCAGTGTCTGATTAACAGGGTAGGAAGAGAAAGAGCAGGGAAAGAGAGAGAGGAAGAGAACAAAGTGTGGGGGGGAGTGAGGTGGGAAAGCAAAGCGCAAAAGAGAAGAGGAAAGAGAGTGAAAGCGAGAGAAGAAAGAGAGCAAGAGAGGGGGCGCCCAGCAGGAGAGAGTTTTTATAGCCAAATTATAATGGGGGTCTCTGGGTCTGTAAGCTGCCTTGTTGTCGTACAGTGATTGGATCATACAGTAGTTGCTAAGGGTGTCATCTTCTGCCTTCAGGCAGAGGTGGCAGGGGTCAGACGTGGGTTTTCGTTGCACCAGACGGGTGGGGGTSGAATGTTCAGCCTTGAGTGGGGTTGAGTGTTCAGACTTGAYGCAAACAAACGATAAGGAACCAGACAGGTAAGGGTCCAGTGTTCAGCCCACCTGCAGCCAACAGTTGTTCAGACTGCTCTGCAACTAACAAAAAGTAATATCTAATTTGGTCTCTGCTCCAAGGCAGGAGCATAAATACATAGAACAGTTAAGGATGAAAATACTGTACTGAATTCTACCACCATTTGGGTGATTAATAAAAAATAAAGCATTCATTTATTTACTAACCCCTGCAAACACTTCAAAACCTTTCAACCAAAATCTTTTCAGATGAATGTGCTAATCAAAGTAAGGACATCAAGATGTTATATTTTAATATTAGTTAAGGTTAAGAAGCTGGACATGGTGGCACACTCCTGATGACTCAGGAGGATTGCAAGTTCAAGGCCAGCCTCAGCAATTTAGTGAGACTCTGTCTCAATAATTAAAAATAAATAAATGAAGTACTGGGGATGTAGCTCAATGGAAGAGCGTTCCTGGGTTCAATCTCCAATACCAAAAAAAAAAAAAAAAAAATCACAGTTAAAGGCCGTGTCCTCTTTTAAAACACATCACAAGCACACTGCAATTTACCAAGTACAAGTCCTATACTAAGCCACTAAGAAGGACTGAGCAACCTAACATTTCCCTGCTCTTTGGAATTTCTGTGTCAATTGTGATTTTTCTCTCACCCTCCATTCAACACTCAGTAAAATAATTACTTATTTTAAGCACCTGAAAGTGGGAGAACTGGTGAGGATGAGTTGAAAGGAAGAGTAAACCCAATATCACAAATTGCATACCAAAAGATCTGAGTATCATCACGAATGATTAGCTTTTCTACATGCCTTGGGAGTTTTGACACCCAAGAACATTTTAAGAATCCTAATTTCTCGCTGGCACACACCTGTAATCCCAGTAGCTTGGGAGGCTGAGGCAGGAGGATCGTGAGTTCAAAGCCAGCTTCAGTAAAAGGGAGGCACTAAGCAACTCAGTGAGACCCTGTCTCTAAATAAATTACCATTAAAAAAAAAAAAAAACAGTTGGGGATGTGGCTCAGTGCCCCTGGGTTCAATCCCTGGTAACCCCCACCTGAAAAAAGAATCCTAATTTCTGTTTTTGGGGGTTTTTTTAATAAAAGGAAAGATTTTATTTTAAAATAATTCTTCAATTTCTCTTAGACTTTCAACTCCAACGCTAGTTCATTAGCACAACAATAACTCAGCAGATTTTTAAGTAAATTCCAGGGAGAAAGGGAAAGTTACATAATCAAGTCAATCTGACCTAATGAGGACAAATTGGATAATTAGGATATTATCAGCTGATTGCTATAGACCTGATAAAAATTATCTTCAGCTAGGGATCCTTGAGGCCTGATTGCAGAAGGGATGCTAGTCAACCCACACACCTAAAATTTATTTAAGAGACCAAGCTAGGGGTTTCTGGCCTTTAGGAAGAAGACAGGCATGGGGAAATGTTTTCCTTGTTAGTTCTCCCAAGCCATGGCACTTCCCAGCAAATTTCTCTTTTGGTTTTGCTGTTTTGCCTGGCTATGTTTTCATGTTAGTCTTGGTTCTCAGACTTCTAGGGGAGAAGCTCAGATTGCAGCTAATGCTGAGTTGGAATCTGAGGCAGAACCTTGGTCCGTGCTGCAACCTATAGATGGGACACCCAGCCCTGGCCACCTTTTCAAGTTTCTGTCTGATGGGCGAGATGGAGCCCCTAGGCTGCAGCCGGACTCCAGAGCTTTGCACTACATGAAGAAGCTCTATAAGATGTATGCTACGAAGGAGGGGATTCCCAAATCCACTAGAAGTCACCTTTACAACACCATTCGGCTCTTCACTCCCAGTTCCCTGCACAAACAGGCTCTTGGACATCAGGTGACAGGTGTGTAAAAGCAAATTTCTTAACTGGGTAGAGGGACGATGTTATACGCTTAGATGCATCTGTATTTCCATGACAGACAGACTAGAGCAGTATGTGTGTCTAAAAGACGGGGGATTGAACCCAGAGCACATGCTGGGCAAGTACTTGACCACTGAGCTACACCCCAGCCCTTTTGTATTTTTCATTTTTGAGATAGGGTCTCACTAAATTGCCTATGCTGGCCTCAAACTTATGATTCTCCTGCCTCAGCTTCCAGAGTAGCTGAAATTACAGGCCTGCCCCACTGTGCCCTGCTGGGTTTTGCTTCTTGAATTGGGTTTTATTTTGTAGGATACTCAATATCCAATTGAAACAAATTTGATAATTGATCACATTCTTTTTTTGTAGGGAGTCCCCGGGGATTGAACTCAGGGGCACTTGACTACTGAGCCACATCCCCGGCCCTATTTTGTATTTTACTTAGAGACAGGGTCTCACTGAGTTGCTTAGTGCCTCCTTTTTACTGAGGCTGGCTTTGAACTGGCAATCCTCCTGCCTCAGCCTCCCAAGCTGCTGGGATTATAGGCACGCACCACAGCGCCTGGCTTATGTTTTCTTTCTAATGCTGTCATTAGTTAATGTGGACTCATATGATAGGATTTTAGCACTGAAAGAGACCTAATGGCTTTGAAGGCTGAGGAAAGTGCTGGAAAAGCTTAGCATCTGTTTCTGTTCACCAAGCTGTTGGAAATGTCCTATATCTGATATGCCCAGTATGTTCTGTGTCAAACAGGATAGTCTSTTGTTTGTTGCTTTCTGTGAGGTCCTCATCTGGTACAGTAGGTCCTTAAGAACAAAGTGCCAGGGCTGGGGATGTAGCTAAGTGGTAGGGTGCTTGTTTAGATATGTGAGGCCCTGAGTTTCATTCCTACCATTGCAAAAACGAAACACCAAAGTGTAAGTCAACAATTGGAGCAGTTCGTTGTCTTAGGTGTGAGAGGAGCAGTGCTTTTTAATTTTTTTTAAAGAGAGAGAGAGGGAATTTTTTAATATTTATTTTTTAGTTCTCGACAAACACAACATCTTTGTTTGTATATGGTGCTGAGGATCGAACCCAGGCCACACGCATGCCAGGCGAGCGTGCTACSGCTTGAGCCACATCCCCAGCCCGAGGAGCAGTGCTTTAGAAAAAGTACTTTCTCTAGCTCATGATGTAAAGAAAACCATTCTAAACAACCAAGGCTTATGGCCATTTAAATGCCTTTCATTTTTACTCTAGAGGCATCAGAGCCTCCATTTGTTTTTTTTTTTTTTTTTAATCTCAAGTGTGCTAAATTAAATGGGCAGTCAAGTGGTTTTAATTGATTTAATTCACTGGGGCTTAGATTATTGTTTAAACAAGGCTGAGTGTTTTAAATTACTATGATGGTTTTTCCCAATAGAGTGTCTCCAAAAGAAAAATACTACTTATTACCTTCCTGTGTTTGGAGCAGGTTGTTAACATTGGAACTTCAGAATGTAATAATTCCCTGTTGCTTTAATTTACCATCAAAGTTGTTGTGACATTCTGGAGATAAAATATCCATTGATGGTTCCTGGGAAATATGGTACCAATTACCTTTTCTATACATCTATTTTTAGTCCCTCTCCTCATTGTCTTTGAGGCTTGAGGAAATGCAGGGAAAGAGAAGGGAGATTGCATATTGCTAGTACAATTCCTAGATTTGACTTCTAATTACATCTGATTTGTATGCAAGCACCACTAACTGGTGAATCATTTTTTCCTTTCAGGAATCTTTCCATCAGTGGACCTGCTGTTTAATCTKGATCGTGTTACTGCCGTCGAACACTTACTCAAATCCGTCTTGCTCTACACTTTCAATAATTCAGTTTCTCCTTCCTCTATTGTTAAATGTCGGTGCAACCTGGTGATAAAAGAACYAAAGTCTTCTAACAAGACTCTCCCTAGAGCTCCTTACTCATTGATCTTTAATTCACAGTTCAAATTTAGAAAGAATCACAAGCAGATTGAGATTGATGTAACCCCACTCCTCCAGCCTATAGTGGTTTCCATTGAGAGAAATATTCACATGTCTGTCAATTTTACATGCACAAAAGACCAGCTGCAGCACCCTTCAGCTCAGGATGGATCCTTTACCATGCCTCTTCTGCCCCCCTCACTGATCTTATATCTGAATGACACAAGTGCTCAGGCTTATCACAGGTGGTATTCCCTTCACCATAAAAGGAAGTCTTCACAGGGTCCTGACCAGAAGAGTAATGTGGCTGCCTATCCCATGGGAGAAGAGACTGTCAAGGGCGGGAGATCCACCTGCCACCGGAGAGGTCGGGAAACCATCACCTCTCAATTGAAGAAGCCACTGGTTCCAGCTTCCTTCAACCTGAGTGAATACTTCAAACAGTTTTATTTCCCCCAAAATGAGTGTGAGCTCCATGACTTTAGAATTAGCTTTAATCAGCTCAAGTGGGACAACTGGATTGTGGCCCCTCACAGATACAACCTTCGGTACTGTAAAGGAGAATGTCCAAGGGCAGTTGGGCATCGGTATGGCTCTCCGGTTCACACCACGGTGCAGAACATCATCTATGAGAAGCTCGACTCCTCAGTGCCAAGACCATCATGTGTACCTGCCAAATACAGCCCCTTGAGTGTTTTGACCATTGAGCCTGATGGCTCAATCGCTTACAAAGAGTATGAAGATATGATAGCTACCAAGTGCACCTGTCGTTAACTTAAGGTCCTCTAAATGAAAACCTTGAGCCTATTTAGCAAAGTAAGTGTTGTGTGCCTCTCTGCTCTCAGGAGAAGGCTTATGTGTCATATAACACATTGTAGAAATAGGAGCATATGCATGTTAGCACATTCTGGGGCGTCTGTCTGAAGGGATAAGGTCAGTTGTTCCTACTTAGCCTTAATTTCAACACTTAAATGTAATTACTTTGGAGAGATTTAATTGTTTTTTCCCCTGAGCATTTTTTTTCTTTTCACAAGTGTTTTGGTTTTGATGGAAAAATTCTAACTTAGCATAAATCTAATGGAATTGCAGCCACAGATATTCAGAGAGCTTTAGTATTATGATAATGGAAGAATAAATTCCTGTCAATGGCATAAATTGTGTGTGTGTTATTAAATAAATTATGATTGGGAGAGAGGAAGCATGTCAAAAAGCTGACATTGGCTCAACTTTTGCTTTTTTATTGTTCAAAACATTACATAGTTCTTGATATATCATATTTCACACTTTGATTCAAGTGGGTTATGAACTCCCATTTTTACCCCATTTTTTTTTTTTCCAGTGAAAGGGAGGCTAACCTCTCTGCCTGAATCCTGGTAAAGTGAAATTCGCTAGGATTAGAGTATGCAGCAGACCTCTTTCTGTTGTCTTAGTGTGATTGGTGTACAATACGCTAATTCTGCTTATTAACTGGTGTATATAAATTGAGTCACGTAAAACCATATAACATTTGTCCCATTTGTTGAAGGGAAATTGTATTGTAGATTGTTCCAAGAAAACCTGTGTTCAATATTTTAAAATGTATTTTCTTTCTCTAAAACTTTTGACCTTATGGAAGAAAGCCAAGAAGGTTGGTTGATGTTTGTTTTTTTTATTTGCTTTTTGCCTATTTGCCTCAGTCCACCCCACATACTCTTTTTCCAGGTATATTAGCAGTGTTCCCACTAAACTAAGCTGGTAGTGACTGTCTTATTACTGAGTAGGCCTTATGTGGATCTAATGGCTTTTGTGTGGGTTTTCCTTTTCTTTCTTTCTTTTTTTTTTTTTTTTATATTCTAGGGATTGAACCTAGGGAAACTCAACCACTGAAACATTTATCTAGAGATAGGGCCTTGCTAAGATGCTGAGGCTGGCTTTGAAATTGTGAACCTCCTGCCTCAGCCTCCCAAGCTGCTGGGATGAAAGGCATGCACCCCTTCTCCTGGCTTTTGTGTGGGTTTTCACTGTCTCTTAAGAGAGCAAAGATACAGAGTTAGGGCTAATGTAGTGACATTGTGTTTCAGAGTTTCTAAAACCCTAATCTACAAATCAAAAGTAACTTCTACATGCAAGAGGTAGTTTTCACTCTTGTAAAATGATCTTTTCTTGGTGCTTGTTTTTAGTTTGATTAGATAAGATTGCCACACCATATGATTTGCCCATTTAAAATGTACAATTCAGTGGTGTGTAGTATATTCACACACAGGATGCCATCACTATTGTTAATTTAAGTACATTTTTATCACCTCAAAAAGAAACTGTATTCCTTAGCTGTCCACCCTGATTTCCTGTCCTGTCCTACCCCCAGCCCTAAGCAATCCCTAAACTGTCTCAATAGATTACATTACTCTGTACTTTCACATGCATGGAATGAATTGCAATATGTGGTCTTCTGTGACTGGCTTCTTTCACTTAGCATGTCTTCAAGGGTCACTTATATTGCAACATGTATCAGTACTTGTTTTCTAMTGACAGAATATTTGACTATACCAAGTTTTGTTTATCCATTTATTGATACTTGAGTTTTCATTTTCTGGCTATTATACATAATGATACAAGTTTGTGTTTAATTTCWCTTGGGCATATACCCAGGAGTGGAATTTCTGGGTCATATAATAACTCTTTTATCGTCTGAAGAACTGCTAGACTGTTTCCCAAAGCAATGGCGCTGTTTTATATTCCCACAAACACAGCATGAGAGTTCTGATTTTTCTGTATCCTCTTAATGTTTGGCGTTTTTGATTCTAGCCATCCAAATGTATGTGAAATGGCATCTCCCTATGGTTTTGATTAGCATACTTACCTGATGACATTGAGCACGTTTTCACACACCTATCAGCCAATATGTCTTTGAAGAAATGTCTAGTCAGATCCCTTGCCCATTTTGTTTCTTTTCTCCAATCCACCTCCCACACTGGGGATTGAATCCACAGGCTCTTTACTACTGAGTTATATCTCCAGCCCTCTCATTTATTTTGTGTCATGGTCTCGACCTTGAACTCCTGCCTCAGTCTCAATTCCTGTGATTACAGGCAAGCGCTGCCATACTTAGCTCCTTGCCTATTTTTTCATTGGATTCTTTGTATTTCTGTTATCGGATTGTAAGAAATCTTATATGTTCTAGATATAAGCCTTTTATCAGACATGATTTCCAATTATTTATTCCCACATGTTGCCTTTTAACTTTTTATTATAAAATATGACATAAAAATTTACAATTTTAGCAATTATAAGTATACAGTTTGTGGCATTATGTCCATTCACTGTTGTCCAAACACCCACTATCTGTCTCGGAAACTTTTCATCAGCCAGACAAAACATTGTTTTTCCTTTTTTTTGTACCAAAGATTGAACCCAGAGACACTTAACCACTGAGCTACATCCCCAACCCTTGAATTTTTTGAGACAGGGGCTCTCTAAATGGCTTAGGGCCTTGATAGGTTGCTGAGGCTGCTTTGAACTTGCAATCTCTTGCCTCAGCCCCCTGAACTGCTGGGGTTATAGGTGGGCGCCAACATGCCCAGCTAGAGTAAGTAATACTATGTTTATATATTTGTATCACATTTTGTTATCTATTTWTCACTACATGGATTGTTCAGCTATTATGAATAATGCTATAAACATTTGTATACAAATATCTGTTATGGTGTCTGCTTTCAGGTTTGTTGCCATGCTAGGGATCAAACCCAGATCCTCACATGTGCTAGGCCAGCACTCTTACCACTGACCTACATTCCCAGCCCTCTGATTTCAGTTCTTTTGGATCTATTCCTAGAAATGAAACTGATAGATTAATTTTTCAAAGAATTCTTTAATTTTTAAAAAATGTATACTTCTTTCTAAAGTGGAAGTATCATTTTACTTTCTTATCAGCAATGCCCTAGGACTCCAATCACTCCACTTTGTAGGCAGCACTTGCTATTTTCTTTTTGCTTTTGAAAATCACCTGAAGCCTGTGAAGTGGTATCTTGTCGGGGTTTTGATTTGTGTTTCCCTGATGACTAATACTAAGTATTTTTCATGTGCTTACTGGCCATTTGTATCTTTCTTAGAGAAATATCTATTCAGCTTCTTTTTCTATTTTAAAGTCCATTTGTTGAGTTTTAGGAATTCTTTATATATTTTTTAATATTAATCCCTTATGAGATATGATTGGCACATATTTTCTCCCATTCTGTAGGGTGCTTATTCACTCTACAATTCTTTGCACAAAAATTTTCAATTTTRTTCAAGTTCAATTTACCTATTTCCATTTGTTGCCTGTGTTTTTTGGRGTTGTGCAAGAAATCATTTCCAATTCCAATGTGAGATTTTTACCTATGTTTTCTTGGAGTTTTACAATTTTGGCTTTTATGTTTAAGTTTCTAATCCATTTTGATTAATTTTTGTGTATGGTATGAGGTAAAGATCAACTTCATTCCTTTGCCTGTAGATATCTAATTGTCCCAGTACTATATATAATTATATATTATATATTCCCATTGAATTTTTTGGCACTCTTGTTGAAAATTAATTTGGCCATGGGTATATGAATTTATTTCTGGACTCTATCAGTGATTTATATCCTTACTAATGACAGTATCACACCATTTTGTGACTGGTTTATAGTACGTTTTGAAATTAAATATTGTATTTTTTCAAGATTGGTTTAGCTATTCTGGGTCTGTTGTAAATAATAAATTTCAGACTCATCAATTTCTGCAAAGAGGTCATCTTAGATTTTGGTAGAGATTATTTCAAATTTATAGATTAGTTTGGGAACTGCTATCTTAATGCTTGTTTTCTATTACTGAACCCAGGAGCACTTTATCAATGAGCTACATCCTCAGTCCTTTTTATTATTATTTGAGACAGGCTCTCACTAAATTGCTGAGACTGGCCTTGAACTTGTGATCCTCCTATATCAGCTTCCCAAGTTGCTGGGATTATAGGCATGTGCCATCACACTTGGCTGGTTTCCATCTTAATGTTAAGTCTTCTAATATAGGATGTTTTCACTTCTTTACATCATCCTTAAATTTTATACTTTCCAGAGCATATTTTGTACTTTTTGTTGTTAAACCATTCTCTAATTTTTTTTTTTTTAGTTGTAGATGGACACAACACCTTTATTTTTATGTGGTGCTGAGGATCAAACCCAGTGCCTCACATTTGCTAAGCAAGCCCTCTACCACTGAGCTATACCCCAGCCCCTGTTAAACCATTCTTAAGTATCTTTAAAATTTTATTTTGTAGAACTAGGGATGGAACCCAGGTAAGCTACATTCCCAACCCTTTTTATTTTTTATTTTGAGCTAGGGTCTCACTTAATTCCTGAGGCTAGCTTTGAACCAGTGATCCTTCTGCCTCCACTTCTCAGTAGACAGGATTATAGCCATTTGCTATCTTGCCCAGTTTTATTTTTATGTGGTGCTGAGGATCGAACCCAGCGCCTTGCACATGCTAGGCGAGCATTCTACYGCTGAGCCACAACCACAGCCCCTTAAGTATTTTATTTTTGATGATGCTATTGTGCATGAAATTGTTTTTCCTTTTTTTTTTTTTAATTAGATGAGGTCTCATTATATTGTCTGGGTGGTCTCAAACTCCTGAACTGAAGTGATCCTSCCACCTCAGCCTCCCATGAAATTTTCTTAATTTCATTTTTGGATAATTGATGTTTCAAGTGTTTTATGTCATCTGTCATTCTTGAATTATCTGGAGCCCTGAGCCTGCTTGTAATTCTAGCTAGTTGGGAGGCTGAGAAAGAAGTATCTCAAGTTGGAGGCCAACCTTGGCAACTTAGCAAGACCCTGTTTCAAAATAAATATAAAATAGAAAGTTTGGGAATGTAACTCAATAGTAGAGTTCCCCGGGTTCAATCCCTAGTATCACAAAGGGGGAAAAAACCTGAAACAGAAAGAGCATGAGTAATGGTGATAATGTGCAATAGAATTTAATTKAGGGTAACCTCCCTTAAATATGGCTGCTTTCAAATAGACCACATGGATTATGTTGGTTTATGGGATTCATCATTCAAACTACCATAACTCATTATTTTGTGGGAAACTATTGTTTGTGTATTTTGTGTGTGTAGAGGGGTTTTTTGTTTGAGACAGTC